GCAGGATGGTTGGACGAGATGACCCCCAGTGGTCCCTTCCAACCCCTGCTATTCTGTGATTCTGTGAATAAACAAGCAGAGTCTCCAGAGGCCCTTTGGGCCAACTTTTGCTGACGTCAGCATGTCAAGGGGACCTGCCTATATTGGCCTGAGGGGTACATTTGTAGTGTGTGGAAATGGAGAGCACGTATCTAAATACTGGGCTGTTGTACTGTGTACAGTGAACGTTTAAAAATTTGTCATCCCAGCTCTGTGATACTATCTGATCCTAGAGATCCCTTTAATTTTGTTTTTATTAAGAGTGCTTTATATTTCTAGAGCTCTTAATTGGGAAGGTCAACAGCAGTGTAATCTAAATGATCCTTGAATCGCAGACAAGCCCTCAGCATGCTCCAAGTGCTCCTTCCATCCAGTGTGGCTGTAACAGTCCCACCTCATACACGCACAGTCGAAGGACTGAAGGCAGCAATTTATCCTCTTAGGTCTTTCTCACCAGCACATGTTCTTTTCTCACATAAAGCTTCTTCATGCGAGATCTTGGACAATTTCCCTGCTCTCCACCCCTCCAGAGAGACATGAGGGAAGTTCCACCATGGGAAAGTGGATAAAAGTTTGAGTAGTAGATAGCAGAGAACAATCCTGCTCTGAGGGAACAAGGAGGGGGCCAGAGGTGATTTAACGTATCAGTGACCTTTAGGATAGCAGCTGTGATGGCATTTCAAGTTGTGTAAACACTGTCCATCTGTAGGTCTTGTGTAACTGTGACTGAGTACCTAGGACACATTATCTTAGCTGGAATCTTGGAGCAAGCGACAGTGAAGTAGCAGCGATTGCAGCTGACATCATGTGTTTACACTGGTGAAGTCAGGGGAAGACTCAGACCATCTGAGTGGCCTTACTGAGCTAAGCTGGCAGGCGACTAACAGCAAGCAAAAGCCACTTGTTGTCACACTGCAGCCAAAATGCGTAGGAAGGAATAATTGTTTTGTTTTGCTTTGTTGTGAGTTCTGTACACAGCACGAAGGTCAGCACAACACCTAAGAATCACAGCAGTTAAAGTAGCTGTAGCACTGATGGGTTTGCCCTTCTCTTGCTCTCTCAGGATGTCTTGCTGCTGAGTCAGTTTATCCGTTCTGATGGAGGGATGCTGCCACGAAGGGTCACAGGCCTCTGTTTGGAGGAGCACAAGAAGATTGCTGTCTGCGTGCAGATGGCTCACCGTGCAGGTACCTAGCCTTCTCCTGAGACAGCCCCTTACTGTGAGGTACCCATAGAACCCCTTGAGAAGGATGTCCAGCCCAATTAGTATAGCTCAGTGAGATGTTACTGTCCAGTCACCCAGCAAACTCGTTATGGTCCAAGTGCTGGGACAGGATGATGGACCAGAGACTACTTGTTCTGCTTTCTCTGTGCCTTGGCAGCAGACATTTATCCCTGTAGATGAGTCTACTGTTGCAGAAAGATCTGGGAAGTGGCTCAGTCTCTAGTAACTAATGATTAAATACCAGCTTCTGAAATTACTTGATTTATAGTAAGCTTGACCTGCCCCGTTAATAACATGCACCTGCCTACCATCTGCCATGTGAAGACTTTTTTCTTTAGCCTGGGAGTGGGACCCAGGTTGATACAGTCAGAGTATTGTGCTGACCTTTATGCCTGGTACCTGAGTTGTAGCCAAGTTAAATGCACTGAGAATTTTAATAGTCAGATTTTCATCCTGGAGATGGAATCGGATTGGACACCAGTGCTCTGTGTCCTCTCAAAAAGCCTTTCCGATGAGCCCAAGTGGCTGTGTCTTTGGTGTGCATTCCCTCTCTATACCCAGCAGAACCTCCTAGCTTCTTTTTGCCTGGGATGCAGTTCAGCAATGACTAGAGATAAAATACCCTTTCTACTGTACTTGAGTTTTTGCTGTGCTGTCCCAGTAGGGGCCTGGGTTGCCTGGCTTACAAGGTGCAATGTAACTTCTGGGTGCTATAGAGGCAAGGAGACACTGCAAAATATTCTCATGCCTGCCTTTTTCTCTTTCAGGTTTGTTGCCAAACCACAGGCCTCAACTTCCTGAAGGGCACGTTCCCAAGAAACCGAAGCTCAACAGGTGAATAGTCTTATCTTTGCACAGCTCTTTTTTTCAGGAATAGACTGGAAGAGGAAAAGCAGGGGTAACGGGGTAAAACATGCCTCAGGCAACAGGGCTCATAAAGAGTACTCCTACCATTTCAGAGAAGGAAGGTCTGTCATGATATTCTTCTATTAGTCTTTCAAGAAAAAACCACATCTCATTCAAAACATTCATCCACACAGGATTAAAATTGCCACGTGTGTTAGAGTCTGCCCTCCTTCCCTCAGCTGCACTCGCCTCCTCATCACTGAAACTTGAGTCCAGGCAGTCACGGCAGGATGCCACAGAGATGGAGTCACAACATCACAGAGTAGTTGAAGTTTAAAGGGGTGTCTGGAGATCGTCTAGTCCAAGCCCCCTGCTCAAGCAGGGTCACCTAGAGCAGGTTACCCAGGACTATGTCCAGTCAGGTTTGTTTTGAGTATCTCCAAAGATGGACCTTCCACAGTTTCTCTGGGCAGCTTGTTCCAGAGAACCGCCATCACAGTGAGACCGTGTTTTCTTATGTTCAGACAGAATTTCTTGTGTATCAGTTTGTGCCCATTGCCTCTTGTCCTGTCGCTGGACACCACTGGGAAGAGGCTGGCTCTGTCTTCTTTACACCCTCCCTTCAGGTATTTATAAACATTGATAAGACCCCCTGAGCCTTCTTTGCTCCAGGCTATGCAGTCCTTTCTCTCTCAGCTTTTTGGTGCCCAGCCCCCAAAAGCAGGAGGGTGCCCAGGAAGGGGTACCAGCAGTGAGTGGGGGGTTGACCAGCCAGCAAGGGCCCATCACAAGCCTGTGCCACTCTGTCCCATCCCCGTTCCCCCCAGTCAGCAATTCGTCCTCCGCCTGCCCTTCCTGTGCAGGGTCTCTTCCCCCTCCCCGGCCTGAATGGCCCCTGGCCTTTGGTGGGTGAAGGGAAAGCCTGCAGCCGCCTCCTGCGCTGTGCGGGGCGCTTGGAGGTGCTAATCCCCTGTTTATGACCTCACACTCTGTTTCCATGGGGATGTCAGAGCGGTTTATGAACCTCGCATTAGCAAGCCCTGGGGTTACCAGAGGCCATGGGGCTGTTGCTGGTCGCTGGACACCACTGGGAAGAGGCTGGCTCTGTCTTCTTTACACCCTCCCTTCAGGTATTTATAAACATTGATAAGACCCCCTGAGCCTTCTTTGCTCCAGGCTATGCAGTCCTTTCTCTCTCAGCTTTTTGGTGCCCAGCCCCCAAAAGCAGGAGGGTGCCCAGGAAGGGGTACCAGCAGTGAGTGGGGGGTTGACCAGCCAGCAAGGGCCCATCACAAGCCTGTGCCACTCTGTCCCATCCCCGTTCCCCCCAGTCAGCAATTCGTCCTCCGCCTGCCCTTCCTGTGCAGGGTCTCTTCCCCCTCCCCGGCCTGAATGGCCCCTGGCCTTTGGTGGGTGAAGGGAAAGCCTGCAGCCGCCTCCTGCGCTGTGCGGGGCGCTTGGAGGTGCTAATCCCCTGTTTATGACCTCACACTCTGTTTCCATGGGGATGTCAGAGCGGTTTATGAACCTCGCATTAGCAAGCCCTGGGGTTACCAGAGGCCATGGGGCTGTTGCTGGGAGAGCTTAGGCTGCAGGGCTGGGGGCGGCCAGAGACTCAGGCCTGACTCTGTAGTGGAGATTTGAGACAAGCTCTTGGAAATGTCCCTTGGGTGCTGGCAGGCTGCACACTGGTATCAGTGAGGATCAAATTAGAGGACTCCACATTGATGCAGCCCTGTAGCCATCAGATACTTCAACTCTGAAAACTACTTCTTTCCCGTGTCTCACAAGTCTTTAGGATTCTTTAGTAGTTGTGTCTATCCAGCAGCTGTGGGGTGGAGCACATTATCTAGTTAGCATTCACATAGCAACCCTGCATAGCAGGTTGAGACAGGAAATGGTAAATCCTGTATCTTGCTGGAATCACACCAGGACTGCAGATCTAATGCCCTGACTCATAAATTTTTTCCATAGACTTCTAGTGAGAACAAAGAACGGATACTTCCAGATATGTTCTACATGCAAGTAGGTGTGCTACACCTCTAAAATTAAGATATTTAAATTTGAAATTAGTATCTAAGCCCTCCCTATTGCATTGCTAGTCCGTCCCTACACCACCCTTGTTTTTTTCCTCCCAGCAAGGGAACATAGCAGGCAGGGTGGAAGCACAGTTTAGAAAAAGAGCAGAGCTGTTGCTGAGGAGATGGAACAGCATTGAAATAGGCAGGCTTTGGGGTCTGGGTGGAGATGAGAGGATAGGATCAAGAAATCAGACTGGAAGTTTTGGTGGTGGGTCCGGAACTAAACACATGAGTCCCAGAGCCAGGATAGAGTGCAGGGGTACTTCAGGAGTGCCCTCCTGGTCCTTCATGATACTGTCTTCTCAGCCTGCTGGAAGGGGAAAGCTCTGCATGTTGGAGCCTTCTGAAATTTTGGCCATTGTGGTTCTGTGAGAGTTTTGACTGTGCGTACCCCGACCTGTGCTTCCCGCCTTGCTCGCTGGAACAGTGGCTGTCACCACATAAGGCAGGAGGTATAAATTGCTTCCTTCCTGTAGCGTGAAGGGAGGACTGCAGCGTACCCACATGCTGAAGATGTTCAACTAGGACTTATTTTGGGAATGAAGCCAGAGCTCTTATCGAAAGTTTCCCCCATAAATTTGTTGTCCAAGCTTACCTTGTCTTTGCCTCTGTACTTGTTTCTAAAGCTTTCTGTAAGTCCACAGTAATTTGGGAAGCGCTCAACCAGTGGTGCTACCAAATGCAAGTCAGCTGGCAGGGAAGGCAGAGGCAAAATTAGGCTGGGACTTTTCAGTGGAGCAAGCTGCCTTGTCCAGTGCCTTGAGAACATGACCAGGTCATCCTCTATTCCTGTCTGGTGTAATATCAGGGCTGCGCACCTAACGTAGCTTGTCCCTTCACTGCATTTGTGTCTGCTGGGTTTTTAAGTGTCAGTCCTTGAAGGGATGAACAGAGGGCTTATAATAACAGATTAAGTGATACATTTTCCAAATGCTTGAGCTTCAGCTCTTCTTGAGATCACTGTATTGACTGCTCTAGTCATCTTCACCTGTCTGCCTAAATGAGAGGTTAACAGTGCCTTTTTGCACTGCCGCTGTAGCCCTGGGGGTGCCAATGGGGAGAAGCTGAGGTGCTCCATAATATGCTTGGGCCCCTTGTTAAAGCTTTTCTAAGACAGGAACACATTCCTTGACATCAGTTTAATCAGCCCTTGTGCTCTCCAGCTCTGCCTGCAGTGATGGCTTTTTCTGTGCTCCACCAGTGTGTCTACTCTGACTGTGGTGTTGAAATATGCTTTTCTGCACCCCGTCTCCTTCACAATAACCCTCACCAGCCACACTTCTGGAGCAGACTGAAGCACCTGTGTTGTAGATGCTGGAGCTATTGAATTGCCACCAGCTGCTGAGGGACCTTTAACCTGATCTGTGAAGAAACCAGGGATCCTGGCACAGCAGCTTGCCCATTGCTGTGCACTGATGCTTGCAAAGGTGAAATAGGCATCACTTGCTTGGCCCTGCAGCAGTCTGGTCCTTCTTGGTCAAAAGAAAGTAGTCATGTGGAAACAAATCAGCAAAGAGAGATGGCGACAAACTTGTATCAGGGCTGCAAACTGAGGTGGATGGTTCTCACAGGTGGGCTAGTAGTATCCAATGTACTGAGAATTTAGTCCAGTCCCAGTAAAGTCCTCTGTTTCTGCTGTCTCTCCCCCTCGCTCATCTGCACTTACTGTCTTGCCATGAGGAGCTTGCATTGCACATGGACGAAAGCTTTGTATACAGAAGACACAGTTCCTGCTATACTATTCTAAAATAGGAAGGTGCAAGGTGAAAACACTAGACAGAGCACCATTGAGGTGTATACTCTGTTTTAAGACTGTGACAATAAGCTTTGCCTTGCTGAAGGACAACATTTCTTTCATAGTCTTATCTGTGCTTTTATGTGCTCACCGCTTCTGCCCTGAAATTCATCTCATTGCCCCCCTGTAAGCAATCTGTTGTCTAACTCTTCACTCTGAATTGAGAAATCTTTCACTTTTTTTAAACGAGGGACTTCTGAGAAGTCACTGTCTACTCCAGATGTTAGCCCAGCTACATCTGTGAGAATTCTTACCGTCTGGAGACAGAAAATCTTACACTGAGCTGAGGAATGTTTTGCTGATGGTAGAGCTCTTGACATTAGACTACACCATCAGATGCTGGAGTGACAGGACCAAGATGAAAGCCTAAGATAACCTTAGGGACTGATTCCACTCACACCACCTGAGAATGAAGGAGATTCATTGTGGGAAGTGTAACTCAAAGTGGGAGTCAGAGCCCAGCACCTGTACCATAATGCAGACCTGAACATTCACTTACTGCGTGTAGACTGTGGATGTTCTGTAGACTCAGAGCAGCAACCCCTGCCTGGCTGAAGTCTGGCAGATTGCTTCATTTAGATGAGTAATCCCTTTAATTTCTCTCCAGTCTTGCAGAATTCTGGTTGATGCTCCCCTTGGCCAGGCTTCTTTCAAGGTTGTGTCAGTATTTTTGAGAGCAGCTTCATCTGCTGCTGAAAGAGGGGCAAACCAGCCTGATGAAAAACTGTTTTGTCTCTGCTCTTTGCCCCTGAGACAATGTACAGACCAGCTGCACAGGAGGAGCCCTGTGGCTCCTGGGCAGAGGTCCTAAGGAAGTATATCAAGAAGGGCTGAGGAGCCGTGTTAATGTATACTTTTGAAAGCACCAGAAAAGCTGCTTCTCAGCTTTTCCTTGGCTGCACTTGTGGCATTTTTGGCCAGAATGTTTGGCCTGTGTCACAGTCGCCCTGTTTAAAGTGATCCTCCTTCAAATACGAAGTGTCTGGCATGCACTGGCTATCACCTAGCTGAGATTAAACTGTAACATGCCACTGTATGGAATTATCAGCAAACTGTCTTGTGTTAACAAGGGTCGAGGGTGCTGCCCTGCCATTGATCTAGAGATGTGAAGCGTGGCTTTATCACCCAGAGCCCCTCTGGCTGCTCTGCCCCTCCAGAAGGTGCTCTTCTGGTGCTTACTCAATGATGTTTTCCAAAAAGCAGAATCCCTGCACTGTTTTCTAAAGTGGTACTACTGGAATGCAAGAGGAAGAGCAGAATGCTTTGGGAAGTAGTGGCCTGCAGATCTTGCCTTGTTCTTGGTCATCCAACTGTCTGGCACAGTATGGGATCACCCATCCAGGATGTAATGTAACATAGAGGAGGAGATTGGACCTGCACAAGAAGGTATAATATGAAAGTGAAATGCCAGTTTGAGCCAAGCTGTGTGGTTCTGGGGGTGCTAGGAGAGGTATGAGAACAGCTTGTGGTCAGAATTCAACTGGGGAGCACTCCACAGCGCTCCCTTCTACCCCCTGCAGTTGGGACACTGTCCAGGTGAGACTTACCATGGTATTTCTCATTTCTTGGACTTTAGTTCTTTGCCTTTGTGCTTTCTGCCTGATTTGTTTTTGACAGCAATAGCTCATGGATGTTATCACTTAACCGATTTACTAGCTGTGGGTGCTTTTGCAGAAATACGGCTGTTGGGGTATCCACACCGTCCATAAACTCTTGAGTCTACTGTCCTCCCCCTCTTCTGTACAATTTGTCTGCAGAACTTCGAAAACTATGGAAAACCAATAGTTTTCCCCTGTCAATGCAGAACTACTACCCACAGTTCATTTTCTCATGTTTGGCCCAGTCTGGGGCTTTCACTGTTTCCAACGGATGATTCCACAAGCAAATTTGTCTTGCAGCCAAGGATTGTTCCCTCATCCTCAGCCTGAATTCTCCCTTTCATAACTTCCTGCTGTTGTTTTTGCATCCATTTGTGCTCCAGCCTGGCATGTTCCAGTTAAGTGCTGCAGAAACAAAACATTTTCACCAGCCTGTGAGGCTGAGGAGGGTCTCAGGGATTTCACCAGCACTGTGCAGAGTGACAGACTGTTCTCATATTCCAGAGTCATGTGTGTAAGGCCACCACACACCAGAACCATTTGGGAAACGGTCAAACTTCTGTCCTTGCTTTCAGGAATGGAAACATGAATACCTCAGCAGTTTTCTTTCCAGCATTGAAGTTGTCGCATGGATAGTGCGGACTAACACTCTGTCCAGAACAGTCACTGAGTTCAAGCCAGCATCTAGATGCTCTCTTAATGTGCATATAGCACTCATTTTCTTTTGGCAAGGTCCAAAATATTGGTTAAAGCACAACACTGTGAAGTGTTCCCTTTCCTAAAGGACTAAGAGATGTCACAGGTCCCCCAAGTTTGGGCTCTGTCATCAAGAGGTGCTGTAGATTATGGAATACTTGATTTTGAGTGCTCAGCTGCCACTCCATGTTCAGCTTCCTGCTGGAAGAACAGAACTTGGCCCAGATAATACCCAAGTCAATCCCTCCTCCACTACCTGAACTGAAGAAGTTGCCATGTGTTAGGAAAGAGGCAGGTTCCATATGAAGTCCTCATGAATTACAAAGTTTTCAGGTGCTGTGGACACCTCTCGTCCCTGGGAGCAGAATCTGGTTTCACTGCTGTCAGTGTTTCACTCCAGCAGCATGTGGTTTCTCTCATCTGCATGGAAACTCTGCTGAGCATAGCACGTGAATTCAAAGCAAAAAGCCAGAGCGGCTGCAGGTGAGCAAAGCCAAGAGGTGTCATGGGAAGGGATGTGGCAGGGAGGAGGCAGTCTTGCCAGCACTTTGATCGAGTGCTTCCTGCAGTCTGTAGCCCCCTGCGTTCTGCTCTTAATCCAAACAAAAGCCAGACTGAAAAAGCTCAGTGAGGGTTCAGAAGTTCAGCCTTGAACTGCACCAACATGGCCTTTGCTTGGGCTGTGTGCAGGACTGCAGCTGCCCCACGGGTAGGTCATTTCCCTTACCCAGCACACGGAAGCCCTATGCCTACTCCTAGGTGTTAAGCAGCAGCCCTGGAGTGGGAAGGCTTTGAGGCACTCCTGCTCACTGACTAAAATCCATGGAAACAGACTTCCATGTGCCACAGAGATTTTAGGGGATTGCAATGACTGAAGGTGACTAACCACATGTGTTTCCATCCTGTTTATATCTTGCCTTTTCCCATCAGGGAAATCCTACCAGGATTCCCATCCAAACCACTCATTTGTGCAGCTGGAGTCTAGGGATGCTGGTTGTTGCCCAAGATCCTACTGTACTGAAGGGGACAAGCAGAGCCCTGAGGTTGGTTGCCAGTCCCTGATATTGGCAGTTCTGTCCCTCTTTGTCCAGAGCGAGAGCTCTGCACCCTGAGATAACAGGTTAGGAGACCGTGGACCAGCTGCATTTGGCATCCACATGGAGGCTGTGTCCTGACAACCCTCAGCTGGTTGAGAAAATTCAGACCATCTGCCAGTGTGTGTTTGTAGGTTATTACAAAAACCTCCCAAGACAAACCGTGTTGTTGGGTACAATGGAAAGTTGGGTGACTTGGCTAGAAAAGGGGGTACACTACCTTACACGGACAGCAGAGTTTTCAGGCAAGTCCTGTGTGCTAGGCTTTGAAGCTTTCATATGTGAGTTTTGTGTATTTTTTTTAAAAAAAAAACGCGACACTCGTTTTTCCCCGGGTGAAAAAATGTAAAAAAAAAAAAAAAAAAGGGCAGCAAACAAAAAAGGACAAGTTTGAGTTTGGGACAAAGCAAGTATTAAAAGCGCTAAAAGCAAATGTGCTTCAGGAAGTGAAAGCGTCCAAATGTCTGTTTCAGCTAACAATGAAAAGCCCCAGCCTGCAGTCCCCAAAGGAAGCCAAAAGCCTGGACCAGAGGGCTGGATTAGACCTGCTCAAAAGAGAAATAACAAAAGCTTTAAAATCAGGCCATTACTAAATCCTCCTTCCTATGCAGAATTGGGGTGTGCACTTCCAGCCCCCACACAGAAACAGAGGGATTTCTTAAAAAGCCACTGTCTGTCCAAACCTGCACACAGCATTGATGTGTATCTCACATTCACACATTCACTTCTCTCCAGTGAGATCATTTATTATCACGAGAACACTTTCCCATAAGCGTGTGGACACATGACCAGAACTGCACTTGGCACACTGATGCATTAAAACAATTTGGGTTTTTTTTCCTCCTTCGCTGTAAGTGTAGTCTTGCGATATCCAAACTTGCGCTACAGACCGCCCCCTGCAACAAGGGGAATGTGAAAAGGAGGACCTAGCCCCATGTGCCCGTCAACCACCCCTACAGCTGCCTTGACATGGTTCTTTGCCAGATTCCAAACTGGGGACCTGCATTTGGACTCTCTGAACTCCACTTGCATGTGAAGAGACAGGGGAGTCTCTCCTGCTTCCTGTCCTGATGTTGTTATGTGAGGGATTCCACTAATGCACTAGCATAACATTAAAGGTCAAAAGGGACTAAATGTAGTGCACGCATAGGAGAACAAGTGGCTGGATCTTGCTCTGCACCGTCTCCCAAATCCCTCCTGCTGTTGCTTCTAGGTATTTACAATAAACTCCTCAAAGGAAAAGCAAAGTATTTTGGAAGTGGCTTCATTTCAGTGGCAGGAACCTCCAAATGTGATTCATTTTTCAACTGGTGCTGTTCGGGATTGCTGAGGAGAAAAGCGCTAGGAAAATGGGCTGCTGTTACACAGTCTGTAGCTGCCTGGCATAGCAAGCTTTCTTTGTAGTTCTCAGGAATGTGCCAAATGCCTTCAAACAAATGCATTACATGGTCTCTGTCCAAAGTTCTTAATATCTTAGATTTGCACAATGCAAATAAAAGGTAACAAAGCTGTTCGGGAAGAGGATGACTGATTGAGGTTACATTAAGACCATGGGATTACTCAACAGAGGCATGCAAACATCGCTGGACAAAGTTTATCGGTCTGTTCCAAATTCTAATTTGTTGGAGCATTGTTTGTGCAGATTATGCTAGGGTTTTGCTTTGGATCTTTTTTGTCTGAAGAGACTCCTCTTTCTCTGAGGACCTCTATTCCCCTCTCTACTGGTAGCAAAAGATTTAAAGCCTAACAATACTCCAGCCCACCCAGCCACAGGGCAAGATTTCCAGTAACTGATTCTGGATCTGAAATCCCCTGCCTGCTTGCAAAGCTAAGTCTAAAACTTCAAATGGTAAAAAGCGGAGGATATTTGCCAGACGTTGCTCTTCACAGAGATTTGTAGTTGTGATGATAATTCCATTCTAGTACCTCTTAGATTGTAGTTTCTGACTTCCTGCACCAGCAAGCTGCAATAGTATTGTACAGAGAATACTAAAGCAAATTTGGACATGTGAAAATACGAGACTAGGCCAGAAACTCATCCCATGCAAAAGAAATAACCAATTACCCTCTGAAAGTAAACAAATCCCTTTTTAGAGATATTATTTCTCACAGAGTTTAGCCTTTTTAATTAGTTTACCTTATTGAGGCCGGCTGTTGAAATAACACCTCCCATAGAGGCTGGATGCATTCAGTCTTGGACTTAGTTGCAATGAAGGGATTTGGCCCTCCAGTTTAGCCACAGGTGGACAACTTGTCAGCAGCCTGGAGACTACACCTGATTTGTTTTGTGAGACTGGAAGTCAAGCAGGTGCCAGTGGGTTCAGTACAGAGGTGTAGCTTAGAAGTTCCAAAACAAACAAAAATTCCTTTCCAGTTGTCCCTTCTGAATTGAGGGAGCTCTGCTCATGATTATTCCTTTTATAAAGAGGCATGTGGGGAGGCAAAGGCTACAGTGCCTGCTCCTGCTGCAGTCGGAACCTTTTCTCGGTGATCAGTCTCAAACTGAAATGAGTTTATGTTGTTTTGACAGGTATCTGACCCGCTGGTCCATCAGATCTGCAAAGCCCATCTGGAAGAGGGGCCCGAAGTGGTGCAAAAAAACCATGCCAGTTGGACACCCTTTGCTGAAGGATAATGTCTTATATGCACAGAAGCCTCTCTGTTTAAACCACTAGTGGCCAGAACTGGCATAGTCAGTAAGCACAGCTGCTTTCCACTGTTCTGCTTTTTTGCAAGTTTGTCAGTATCTCCAATTTTCCTATTCCAAAACTGTCATTAGTACACCATATTGTCTCCAGAGAATGAGCTGCGATCTGCTGCTCTATGAGAATGTAAGATCCAGCAAAGTGAAGTTCAATGTGCAGAATGACTTGGACCAAGCAGGGGGCAAAGACTTTTACATTAAAGCCAGAAAGGATCTGAAGGCTTTTGTTTCATTATGGTCCATGACTGGGTTTTGAAAAAGTTGTTTCCATCTTCTTCCAGCAATGAATGGTGATTCCCCATTAACATGTTTGAACTCAGCTTTGCCTCATTTGGGCTTTTGTACCTGTGGCACTGATGGAAGAAAAAGTCTCCTGCAGCACTATGCTTCCTTGGCAGTAACAGAAATTGTTAATGACTGCTGAAATTAATTTTTTTTATAATTTGTACTATCCATAATTTGCAGCAGAACACCTGTGGCAGGACAGACAGGCATGCGTGCATCTTACATGTCCCCTTAAGGATTCCTGGCTTGTGCTTCACTCCTAGATCTAGCAAATACAGAAAGTTGACATCCTTAATGACTTGGCCAGTTTTTTCCCCTTGCAAACACATTTGCTGCAAGTCTTCGATGCCAGTGATACGGCTGCTTCCTGGGCTGGTTTGGGGCTGTTAGGTGTGCGCAGTTTTCCATGCTGTAACTAAAAGGTGGCACCATTTCTCTCCCTGTACAGTACATGTATGCACCTTCCACCTACTGACCACTGCTACTTGAGATGTGCTACTTATGGGCCTGGTATGACAGGCTCAGTAAATTTATCAGGGTCGTTATTGCTTGGCTCCATTTCTTTGATATTTATCTGGGGGCTACAAATCAACACAGCTTCTTTATGTACTGCTATGCCACTTAACCTTGTTCTGCTTTCATCAGAATCACCTAGTAATACCTATTGGCACGGACAGGAACAAAGGGTAAGGATAAACCCATATTACCCAGGAAATCAGATTATAATGGGGTTTTTTTAGCCTTTGTGAAATGGTAGTCCTATGTTCAGCCTGTTGAGCTGGCAAAGATCTTTTTGCTTTGGGAGACAGAGCCAAGACTTCATTAACTATACTGAGATAAAATCTCTGGCTGACCATCTCTATTTTATGAAGCTTTGAAACCTACAGTCCTTCAGAAAGGAGAAGATTTTTCTTTCTTCTCCTACGTACAGAAGTTACTATGTCTTCTAGCTCAGGTAGCTCTGCTCAATGAACTTTACTGATGGAAGAGTCACTGGATTAAACCATTGCCTTGAGATGAACCTGAATGAGCATATTTTGCAAAAGACCAGGTGATGCCCACAGTTAATTTTTTTCTACAGTTTAGTCCCAGTAGCTGGAAAGAGCCCTCTAATTTTGGTGAAACCTCATGTCTGATAAACAAAATACTCTCCTCTCTTCAGTACGCCTTTCTGGAGTTCAGGGTTCAGCGGAGATCCCTTACAGTATGCATCAGCTTTCTACTCTGACTCCAAGGCAGAAACTCTATTTTCATTTGTTATTCATGGGTGACAGCAGGCATTCATTTGTGTTGTCTCCAAGTGAGTTTTTGTGTAAGCAGGGTGCCTTTGTAATCAGACAGATGGCCTAGGTTTGATTTCTGACCTAGGGCTTCACCCATCATGGAAAAAAATGCCATTTTGATCTGCAGTGAGACTACAGGGAATTCAGTCTGGAGTTAAGGGAGGATTGCACACAGTGAAGTTCGAGGAGAAGAATCAGAAGAATCAGGACCAGAGTCCAGGCACAAAATAATCCTTCTCAAAGTGCAGAGGTTTCACACATTTATTAGAATAAGCAGTAAATAAAAATCTCCTGCATAAAAAATCTGTATGTTCTCGAGAGCTCATCCCAGACAGGAGAGTCACAGCATGAAGGGCAGATCTAAGTTCTTCTCGCCAGTGCCAAAGTAGATGTAGCCGTATTGCTTGGTCATTGGGACATGGTAGAATGTCAGTCCCAGCCACAGCAGGCTCCGCAGCACCACCACGGTGCCTCCCTTCTCTAGCTGGACAGTCCAGGAGCCTGCACGAGAACATGTGCTAATGAGTCACTGGGAAGGAGAAAGAGGCAGCCTTCCTGGAGCAAGCTGTCCCTAAGGCAGGAGAAGGATTGCAGTGGGTTCTGCCTGACCAGTTAACAGTGCCCAAGGCTGCACTGGAGTTTATGACCACTGAAAAGAGGGAGTCAGGGAGATCAGAAACCTTGATGCCCTTTCTTCTTCTTCTGTCAGGTCAGCATTACAGGTTGCCCCCACTTCCAGATATCTGCACCTAGTTTCACACAGTGGCGTATTCCCATGGCTATGATGGTAATGTCATTTGCGTCACAGGAAGGGGCCCCTGGAGCTCCAGACTTGTATACTTGGTCCCTAGGAGAGGCTACAGCTATTCTTGGCTGCTTCTGAGTGGGCAGCAGTTACTCTAACAAGCTCTGCCACCTACTTGGTCTAGCCAGTAGCTATAGAGAGCCAAGACTAGCTATAGCAGTACTGCGTAGGTATGAAATTTCTTCTTAAAATAAACTCATAGCATTAATAGTGTAGTGTAGTGGTGGGAAGAAGGTGGCAGTGCTTTCCTGCTCCAAGGAAACCAGTCTTCCCTGGTGCAGTGACTGGGAAAGAGGAAGAACAGAAAGTGGAAAGCAGGGTATTTCCTATCTCAGATAAATTTACAGAAAAGGTTAATTCTCTTCAGTCTTTCTTGGCTCCATGATTTAAGAGGATGTGTGTGGTAGGGGCAAAGGGATTAGTTTCCGCATTAATTTTGCTTTGGCTCTGCAGAGGAGGTTCAGAGCCAGTGTGAAAATGCAATTTCTCCTGGATGCAAGGAGCTCTGAGCCACTGAGTATTTGTTTTGTGTCTGACACAACAGCCTGGGAACAAGGCCGGAGGGGAGGGGCCTGGAACATCAGCTTGGATTCAATGCCGGAGGGCGAGGAGCTGCCAGGAGAAGAAAATACCAGCTTCAGCACCAGATCAGTAATGCCAGGCTCAAATAAAAAAAAAAAAATGCAGTTGGAGCTGTCAGGCTACTACTGGCCTAGAGTCAAGCAGTCAGCCTATCTGTACCCAAAGCCAAAATCTGCCAATTCCAGAGTAAGCAAAAGGTCCATAATGTGTTGGGCCAGTTAGACGGTATTCATCCCTGTAGATAATTTTAGGCTCATCAATTTATGCTATGACTCATGCTTACTCATGTCATGGTTAGCCTGGGGAAGGGCTTCTGTGATTGCTGTCAGCTGCCGGTCCTCCCCCTCCCACTAACTGCTGACTCTTGGCCAATTTTAGTCACATCAAAGGGTTGAAGGGCTTTAACACCACAAGTTCCTACACCAGGTCTCCATAGGATGTGGCCCAGGGGTTGACTGCAGCTCCTGAAGCTATTTGGTCTGCCAGCAGCTGCGAGGAAGCACAGGCTGTTCGGCTTGCCTGGCAGCCAAGAAGCAGCAGCTAGCTGGGCAATCGGTGTTGGCGTAGCTTTGGGCTCTTGCACGCTCGCTCGCAGTACATGTAGTCTCTTTCACAGGTTATGGCAAACTACAGTAGTTGAGGGAGGAGGGAATTTGAGGGGAAATTTGTATATGGTGGCAGAAAGGAACAACACGGTTCAAAGCCCTGTAAAACCAGGTGTCACGAGTTGTGCTGCTCACCTGCTACGTATCTCTTTTCTTTGTATTTCTGTTCAAAAGTTTCTTGGACACCAGTGTTTCCCCTGTCTTCTCCAGTAGCAAGTTCCACAGGTTTGTTATACATTAATATGCACAACAGAAGTCCTGTGTCATTTGATCTGTTACCTTTCAAAGTACCCTCTGCAGTTTTGTGTGAACACATGAAATGAACAGCAAGAACAGCTACCTTCCATGACAGTCACTGAGTTTTCTGACAAACTGCCTCTGGCTGCAGGACAGAAGTATAGAGGAGACATTCACAGTCTTTAAAGACTCAGGAGATTTCTGCGCTGGAGAGTCCTTCTGACTCCATCAGCTCCATGTTTCCACTAAAGACAAACAGCTGGAATTGCAGTAAAACAAAACACTACCTAATATAGTGCAGAATCACACACAGGTGTGTGCCATCTTTTCACTGTCTTTGCACTGTGACATTCTTTGCCCAAGTCCTAGCTAAAACATGAGCTAGTGTCTTCACCAGGAGTGGTTTCATGGACAAGGCAACCCCAATCTCTTATGCAGTGGCTCCAGCGCCACTTAATACGGACAAAAACTGGACTGGATCTTTGTCATACCTGGAATAAATGCACATACTATGGTTCAGCCACTGGGATTACAAATTCTGATTGATTGGGTCTCTGACAAAATCTGCGTGTTCTTAAGAAACCACTACTTGACTAGCAGGGAAACCCAGATGAAAAACACTTCACTACAAGGCAGACCATCCAGTGGCTGTAGCACTACAGCCATCTGCTGTCACAGGACAAGCTTTCAAACCATTTCTTGAACTTTGCCTCCACAAATTTTCAGCATTTGCTAGTAGCAGTAGCTAGATTATGTGAAGGGGTGTTGAGCAAGAAGTGGGAAGCAAATAGGTTCTGAATGTAATTGGGACAAATAACTTTTTCATTCTCCTTTGAACACATAACTGACTTTGCTTTCAGTGCAGGATTCTTGCAGCTTGAACTTGCAGAAATGATCTACAAGCCCTTCATCCAAACACTGGTGGTTCTTGCTGCAGCTTTACACATTGGTTTGCAGGGGAAACGAATTTTTTGGAAGACTTTGCCTGACAAAAATATAATGGAATGAGGAACTCTCATTGTCTTTGGTTTAGGACCAGTCCTTTGAGAAGAAAGTCTGTCAAGGATAGGATTGTGCCTTGCCTCGCTGAGTGGTGAAAGCCTTCAGGGATTATCTAGTTTACTAATGCCTCCAAACACACTGGAAGCATACAGCAGCCTGGGTACATGTGATGGCTTGTATATATATGTTCACATACACAGATGAACCCTCGGCCCCAAACTATTTACGAAGAACAAAAAGAAATGCCTGGAGCATGACAAGTGGGAAAGGTGACAGGGAAAACAGGGACATTAATGCTCTCAGGAACTACAGCTGGATTCAAACTTCTTTTTGTTGGACGCATTTGCAGAGAAGGTAGAGTAAATCAAGTTCAACTTGATTAAATCCCCACATCTATGCCCTGGGGCAATACAGTATATGGATCCATGATCTCCTGAGAATATTTGCCCAGCGTCACACAGGCTTATCAATCTCTGCGGAGTATTCATCAGTAGTTAACTGCTGATCAAAGGAACTTCCCATGCACCTTCACACCTGGCAGAAATGGACAAATATAACTGAAGACAGCTCCATTCACTTTTATGCTAGGTCTCTGAAGGCTGTGATGTGCAGCTGCTTCATTTCCCTACCATCTGCCCAATCTGCAAACTCTCAAAGGGCTCAAATTTTTCATTTCATAAATGTGAGACCTTTAGGGAATATTAAGTTGTTATACTTTCCAGCTCTCCTCTGATCCTTGATTCTGCATCTAGTTCTATGCAGATAGGGGCAATAAAGTTTTGCTGATGCTGCATAAGTCTTCCAATGAAATGAGAACCTGAATAAAACAAGCAGGTTACTTAAGGGCATTCCCAACTGGACCAACGCAACATAGGCAGAGGACAGGAAAAATGAGAATCTGCGTGAAACTGTAATATCATTTTCAGTCAGATCCTGTTTTCAGCCAGAATGGTGATTAGTCATAGAGCTGCTCTTTATTCTGCAGAGCCAAAGAGCAGCAGCAGTACAACCTTCCATCTTCTACTAACCAGGTCTCTGGGGACATTTTTCTAATTCAGCTATCAAAGGTGATTTATTCACTATACTTTTCCAGGCTGAACTTTTGCAACACACAAAACCAATTCAGAAACTGCATTTGATACACAAGGCTGGTGTATATCTTCTAAGAAGACATCATATTAAAGTTCTGGAACCCATCTGCTTACTTTGGTCCTTTTCTTTAAAGGAAGAAATTAGGGCTCATTATCTCACTGCTTACTTTTCTCCATACCTCATCACATTAGCAGCGTTTGTGGAAATGGTCCAGAAAACGAAATTATTTGAACTCATGAGACATGGAGAAAGTTGTTCTCCTTGAAAGATCCAAGACAATTGTATTCTCTACCATCACAGCTCAAATCTCACAATCTTCAAACAACAAGATGCTTCTTCAGGCCCACCTTTCTTGGAGGAGTTTGAAATAATGATGTCATAAATCACTAAAAGTACTTTAATCTGTAGCTAATGAATAGCATAAAATAGTAGCTTAAAATTAATATGCCTTCTTTCCTCCTTCAAGAGAAAGCCTTAGAAATGCATTTAATTATACAATATAAAAAGGAATGGGGAGAATTATGGAAATTAAATGCTTACTTTTATCCTCTTTTTTCCTTTTTTTTTCTTTTTATTTTAACTCCCCTGCTATTACAAATGGTCCTTGGAGTAAAATCATTGCATAGGTAGGTGTAGGTCTGTATTAATACAAAAATGCAGAAGCAGGATGCTGGGTTCAAATCCTTTCTAACATTGGCTCAGAATATCCCATGGCAGTCCCTGTGCTTGTCATTGCCCGTGTGTTGGACAAGGCATCCCTTACTTGGGAGGCTGGGAAGCTCAGAGCATCACTCCGTAAGGTACACCAGGACTTGTAGATAAAAGTTGTCAGGCAAAAAAAAAAAAATTATTATTACTTGCATTGGAAGGAATACAACTAGAATTAGGAGACAGCAAGTAAAAGCTGGCTTTGCTAAATACCAATTTTAACTTGCATCTACGTGCGAGCTGTAGCCTGTATTGTCCCTGAATCAGGCAGCAGAGTTAACGTCACTCATCATGTAAAGCTCGCTGAGGCACAGGGAACTGGAGGTCATTGCTCTCACGGTAGAGATTTCTTACAGTAACACTGCTCTGGTGAGGTTTCCATTCTTCAAAATACATTTTTTTAAAAGAGCAAGTTAATTCTTAAGCTGCACCCAGCAAACCTAAGGAAGCCAAGCACTGTCTGTGCTGAA